AAGGAAATGAAAAGAAAAATTGAAACAAAATGGTTGAGAAATAATGAGTAACATCCATTAAGTTTTGAGGGGAAAGGACATAACAACTAATAACGAAATCTCCAACAAAGATGGATCTGAAAGCTTCCCGTTCACTTTCCTGTTCTTGCATATTTTTCTTTTTGCTTTTGTTTTTCTGGTCTTCTGTTTCGCCCTTGATCCTAATCAGTTRTTATCAGATGATTTTGAGAGGTGATGCGTGGGATATCCTATAGTATATAGTGTGCCACTCCAAACCACCTTATAACTAATACGAAAAACCTATTGGAAGATCTAAGTCAGGGCACGGCTAACTCACAGATCGAGTCCTTAAACAACGTCTGGGATGATCTAAGTCAGGGCACGTCTAACTCACAGATCAGACCCTGAAACAACCTCTGGGCTGAACTAAGTCAGGGCACGGCTAACTCACAGATCGAGCCCTTAAACAACGTCTGGGATGATCTAAGTCAGGGCACGTCTAACTCACAGATCAGACCCTGAAACAAACTCTCGGCTGAACTAAGTCAGGGCACGGCTAACTCACAGATCGAATTGGAATTTAGCGGCTAGGTTTAGAAAAACCGTAGAAAAGCCCTCTAATCAAGGTACGGACCTAAAACACTTTTCTTTATTAAGAGCATGAAGATGATATCTAATAAGGCCAACATTTCTTGCGAGCCATTCACTTTGTGGATCGCTAATGCTCATTTATTCCGAACCCAGTCTACAGTGTTACTTGTAGCTCTCGTCTTATTGATCCTTCCAACAGCTATCCTCAACGCAATCACACTCTACGTGATATGGAAGCGCCCTCTTTTACAAAGAACATCGAATCTCTTCTTGTGCAGTCTTGCTCTTTCGGACCTCTCGATTCCTGTCCTTGTCATGCCTCTAGTAATAGCATGGATAATTGGAAACATAAGTGGTTCAAGCAAGGATGATGTATTTTGCGAAGTGGCCACTTTCGTTGGAGTTCTAGGAAGCATTTTTGGATCCCTTTCGTTTCTTACTATAACAGCCGCTACAGTTGATCGATACCTTGCTCTGTACCTACGTCTAAGATACACTGCTGTGGTAACTAAGAAACGAGTCATTTATTCCTGTATTGGATTGTGGATAGCATCGATTGCATTCGCACATATAGTCCTTATAAATATACGTATATACAAAGCTGTCATGTGTTTGTCCTTCACTGGTTGTATGATTACAATACTGTACTGTTATTACAAGATGTATCGCATACTCAAGCACCACCATACCCAGATACAGATTCAAATGRCTGGCCAACCAGTTGCAGCTCTTCCAAACATGAACAAGTACAAATCATCAGTCATGAACCTTGTGTACATTTTCCTGTTGTATATCGTGTTATATGTTCCTTTTGTACTTTCAAATATAGTGATAGAAAATACAAACGATTTATACACGAGTATGAATGCAATGATGCTAGGTACATTTTTGGTATATCTGAACTCTACGCTTAATCCTATATTGCATTGTTGGCGACAACTAGAGATTCGCAACGCCATGATGRAAACATTAGGGTTGAAATCGCGCGTGGCCACCACGTCCGCGTGAAGATGCCACACGAAAAAAGAAACCAGAAATGAYATTTCATCTCTTTTGATCGACTTGCACGAACCGGTCACGTTACTCTTCTCTCACGTTTTCTCATTAGACACCACGTGTAAGCCTGCTAATGTGCAAGGTAAATTCGCCTGCAAGGAAGGTCCTATAGTACTAGAGTTTATCTCCTCCCATTTAAACAGCACCTACGATTATTTGTTTGAGTTGTATATGTTCAAGGTTAAATGTCTTTTCGTCGAAACTGTTAAAGAAATGATACTCAAGGGAATGACACGTTTTTTTTTTGAATGGAAAAACATTGCACTACGAAGAATAAGGTCTGTTTGGTCAAAATGACTCGCCATAAATGAAGGGAGATTCTAGATATCAACTTGAAGAAGGCGAAGCTCGGCTCATAGTGGTTACCGTTTGAACGCCATTTGAAGCAGACACTGAGATTATACTTAGAAGATAAGAAGATAAGACTTACATCATGTTAGATTAAWACCAAGCAATTGTCCACGAATCGTACATCATAATTTTTTGTACACATTCAAATGTTATGCACTAATRATATGCTTAAATCACGTCTGATATACCCTGAGTACATTTCCTATCTGTTAGTGTTTCTATTGTGATAAATCTAATGTTAAAAAGTTAAAGGATATTACATGAGCGCGCGGAGATACRAAGTTTGTCTTCGAGTGTTGAAAAAATCTCTCACGAGTGAGCGCAGAGAGAAGATAAAATTCGTATCTCCAAGCGGCCATGTAATATTCTTATCTCTTATTCTTAATATTATTATCAATGAAGTATGTTTTGGCTTTTTCAGGCAATTCTTTCCGTGTATTTTTGAATAGCCATCGCAATGGTGTTATCTTCACACGTGAAAATAACATGTTATTTTCACGTGTGAAGATATCARKTTTTCGAAATAGAGAAAAATAGATATTTCATTGGTAATTATATAWTAATGTGTTTYTTCCCTGGTCCTCYGTTGTCGTAAGGAGGGAAGAGGTCTGAAGAAAAGCACGAGCTGTAGGCGAGTTCTTTTCACRCTCCTTGAGTGCTTTTGGCGCTTCCTAAGTGCTTTACTACTGAACTAAGCGTGCTTTATTAGATAATTTAGGAGGGTGTTGCGTAAATCGCSCAGAAAATATAAAGCARGCAMTTCACCTACGAAAAAAARTCTCACAWCCTCTACTTTCAGTAAAGAAATATCGAGCAAACRAAAAATTRCGTGCAGGGATTGTTACAAAAAATAAWTGTACAACATTAATTCCTGCAACCATTCATTCCTTAAGGAATAAAGGGAATTCACATTGAAACAACATTGAAACATGGGAAACAACATTGTTGTTGTCACATTGTTTTAGATTGCACGAAGTTCAAAAAAAGTGTTAAACATAGCTGTTGAAATAGGCCGTCCTTTTTCCTTAACACTCTTTTTTGAAGTTCGACAGTACAAGCCAACAATAGGTAATCCACAACCGGCAGAACGAAGCCTGGGAGTGGATGCGAAAACAAAAAAAATTTGTACGGGTTAAGAATTCCTTCTGGTTTTTTTTAGCAAGCAAAATTCGTGCATAAAGTGATTTTATTTAACCCATGAAGAAATAGAATTCATATTAGTTAGTAAGTTAGTATAGAAAGCAAATGGGAATTTATATTACGTGGACATCCATTACGTGCAATCTTTGTTGTCATCTATTGTTTGAGCTTGCACGAACTTCAAAAATGGTGTTAAATCAAAAAGGTCAAGAAAGGAAATCTCCTTTGGAGATTTCAGTGCTGTTTTGTTACAATTCTTTGCAAGGTTTGCTGCGCGCGAGGATTGCGTCAGCAATCGATCGTGCTCCGTTTTCTAATAAAGCACCATTCTCGACCAATCAGAGCGCGCATATTAAGCTATATAATAAACAATTTTTGACGATTAAAAGTTACTACACCAAAACGCTAATGAAAGTTTGAAAACGTTAATGAACCCACGCAACCATATTCATGATTGTCAAATTCAATACTAAATTTCTTAATGAACGTTCCATCGTACTATTGAGACTCCGTTCGYCTTATTGTATGCCTGTTCGCTCTAATGRCAATGCTTCTTCGCTTCAATGAATATTCCTTTGCGGTTAATGAACAGCAAATGGTGTATTAGCTAAAGCTATTAAGATACTTTGCAGACAGTACCCCTTAAAATGCAATAAATGTTTATATATAAAGCTACGTTACCRTCCACACGTATCCGTTTTCGTAAAATTTCCAGRTACGGATACAAAAATTTGCGGACACGTGTGGACKCAACCCGTATCCGTAAAAAAAATTGCGGATACAAAAATTTGCGGATACGTGTGGACGGGGCCTTAGTCATAAGAGAAAGAGGTATTTACCGAATGAAAAAAAAGGGATTATGTCCAAATCATGATCCACTCATTTTTTGAACATAATTTAAGTATTGATAACAAGGCAATATTGGAAACGAAGTAAATTCGTTTCAAATCTTWTTGGGAACATCTTTCACAGGTCCATGTATATTATTGTTAAGATTTSCTTGATYCTTTGCTTCTGTAGCATTTTGGAAAAGATCTTGAGATTCAGTTGGTGGAGCGGGAGCAGACACGTCAGTTACTTCGCCAGGCACCTCGGAAACAAGCTGSAGTATCTCGAGGCAACATGAGGCACTACATTCGGGATTCTCCTTCAAAGCAAGTATTTTCGCCAACGCTTTTGAGAGGTACTGGACTGGAATAAATAAATAAATAATGAAGTAAATATGGCTACTTAAGATAAAGTTTGGTTGCTTAAGATACTTCTAGGGATATTTTAGACATGGTTATTGCATYAGCATTTGTTTTTGCTGTTTTGTTTCTTTTGCTGTTGCTCATTCAGTGTAACTGTTAGAATTGCAATTGCTATTGTTGCTGTCGTAATAGTTCTTGTTGCAGTTATTGTTGTGGTCGTTGTCGTTGCTATTGTTAATAATAATCTTTATTGAGATAACTTTTTCATAATCATGATTTTCAAAAAGGACCTCATTGTTGCCGTTGTTGCTACTGTTACTGTTGCTGCTGCATCCGCTTTTGTTTACATTGATGGTGGTTGTGTATACAACATTTCCGTTTGTGTCAGCTCTCGGGTCATTGGAATCGTAAAAAATAACTTTTTTCTTGCGGAAACCAAAGCAACTCGCCATTCTCACATACGATAAACCATGTTGTAAGGATGGCAATAACATGAAATGGTCGCATAGATTTAGTAAAATAAACGRCAAGTGAAAGAAAATACCTGCAACCAGAGCAATCACCAAGACATTTGCAGCAACAAGKAAAGCTGTAACTATAAATGTGTCGGTTTGGTTGTCGATGCCTGATGAAGATTCTTCTTCTGGGATTTTCATTAGCATTCCAATGGTAAAGTTAACAGAACTTGCCATCAGCGATGTCAGCTGTAGCCAGTGCTCAAAGGCGTCTTTGATAGGCTTGGAGTAAGCGAACCCTACTGAGTATAGGCCAGATAAAATGGCAGTAAGACCAAGACTAGTGCGGCTCTCGGCATTCATCAGGATAAGCATGGAGGTGACCACTATCTTACGCACAAGCTCCACAATCTCCCAGAACCAGCAATCTAGTGAGTAATTTTCGTACAGAAAGCGAGTCCCAGCTAATATGACATTCTTATTCTCTTTGTCAACACCAATATTTCGTCGAGCATATTTCAGGAGAGCAAAAATCGACATTGGAAAGCCAATGCAATATATCAAAGCTACTGAGCCGAAATTGCCATAAATGCTATGTTTTGCTGTATTGCATTTGATCGAGTAATCAGCTTTGAGGTATGAATTGCAYAGGACGTTGCCGTAGGAGCATATCTCTTGGCAGGCAGCAGGAAGCATCTGGATGATGTGAGTGCATGTCGATGGGAAGGTAATGAAAAGGATCAAGATCAAAAACCGATAGCTTTTCTCTTTGTATTCTCTTATTTGCATCTGTTGATTCTCCTTTCCTTTAATTTTGCACTTTACGTAAATCTTTGCGAGAAAGTTGAAAATTGGCCCAATCAAGATGACAAGCCCTGTGATTACGACGCTAAGAAGAAGCTGAGTATAAGCRTCTGCTCTGATTGAATGATTTATGCAGTTCACAGGTGCTATGAGTAARAGATTAAACTGCACCATTTTAGCGTACTTCATAATGCTAACGACAGGTCCCGGCCAACTGATGTAAGAAAAAGAGTCGAAAGTGGCCACCGACACTTGATAAAACCCGATGACAATTTTAAGTCTCGCTAGAAAGATATCCGTTAATGTCCGTGTTGGRTTGTCGGGATCTTTTTTCTTTTCCCGCAAAACAATGACGATCAGGAAAGTCATACCCAGTGAAGCAACTACTATTTGTCCAATGATCCATGGTAAAGTTGGACACTCTCGGCACTTGGTTAACACGTTGAAGTATCCCTTGCCACAAACAGCACACAGAGGACCCTCGTAGCCTTCGCTGCATTCTGAATGACTTTTKCCCAAGCAAGATTCTGCAACTGGACAAGCGTAGACATTTGGTATGTTCTCTTCAAATGTATTGATTTTATACTCTGCAGTCGTTATCATTAGRTCATCTTTGAAATCCTCGTATTGTTGCTGGGATCTCTTGCTTTGCCACATCCAATAGAACCTTGGCGCAAGATCGATGGTTTCATTAAGGCACACGTTACCTTTGGTGCATATACTGCAAGGTCCAAATCGGCGAAGGCGGTAGTAGTTTTCCATGCATCTGCAAGCGCGAAACTTTGCATATTGTTTGAGATTGGTTCCTATAATTTTAAGACATTTGCATTAGTATCTGAAGTCATAAAGTATGCAGAATGAAAACATTTTCAATTACACTTACGAAGTCAGAGACAACTTTAATTTATRATGAATCATGAATCGTGGCTGCAAYTTCGGAATATTAAAACTTTCTGCATTTGTTGGTTGTTTTTTTTTCGGAATTTTTAAAAATCATTCCACGCAGGGTAAACAAGGTTATGGTTAATTTTACAAACTTCTTTAAAACTTGTAAAAAAGGGGGTTGCCCGACTTCGTTTTAGAGCTATACGAGATTAAAGACCTTTTTTATGAGGTTTTGCTTATCGAAACATTGGAACGTCCTTTAGCACCGTRTATAAACCGTAACACTTCATCGACGTTGTCGTCGAATAACAATAATAAATRATGATAATGGCGATGAAAAGGTYGATGATGATAATGATGATGATGATGTAGATGATGATAATGGTGATGATAATGATGATGATCGATGTAGATGATGATAATGATGATATTGATGATGGCGATGATGATGTTGGTGATGATAATGATGATGGCGATGATGATGATAATGATGTTGATGATGGTGTAGATGATGATAATAGTGATGATAATGATATGATGATGTAGATGATAATGATGATGATGATGGTGATAATGGCGATGATGATGAGGATGGTGGTGATGATGATGATGATGATGGCGATGATGATGATGGTAATAATAAT